AATGGGGCAATCAAGCACTACAACAGAACAGTCTCTGATATGGTGCCAGATCTGTTCTCACGGACAGTCATTTACCAAAGGGATTCTGGGGTTTTGCGTTCTTGTGGGCAAACTATACGCTCAACCAACTGCCAAACAAAGTAAGTGGTAGCAAAACCCCATTTGAGGCTTTCTATCGCTACAAGCCAGCAACAGACCATTTGAGAGTGTTTGGGAGCAAAGCCTTTGTACTCACCCCACCGGAAAAACGACTCAGACTGGACAATTGAGCAACCGAGGCGTATGTTGTGGGTTATGTGGACGGAGGAAAAGGATGGATGTTTTGGGTCCCATTAATCAACAAGATTGTGAACTCGGCCTGGGAAACATTTTCTGATGATCCTTTGAAGCTAACCATGGGAATTAAACCCACTAACATCCATTTAGATTCCAATCTCAATGACAAGGTATTGGAGATTGACCCTGCTTTGATGCTTTGCACGCCAAAGGCATTTTGTTTTGTGATGGCAGTGTGGTAAATAATACTGTGTTTCTACGCAGAAAAATATAAAAATTTATTATTATCTCTTTATATATTATAGATATGGTAAAAATAACATCAGAAATGGATTTCTCAGGTAAAATTAACCCTAGTCACCCACTACAACTGACCCCATATCTCCCATGGTTTAGAAGTTACACAGATTTCAACCTGTCACAGGATGTCTTTTGGATTCTTTACTCTCAGTATGGCTTGTTTTGAATACTGGATGCATATTGAATATTGAATTCCTTTGTGTTGTATTGAATTCCTTTATTGGCACATAGTGCATATTGAATTCCTTTGTAGGTGCACATGCATTCCTTTGTAGTAGGACCTTGTAGGCTAGCCAAATTCCCTCAAGGCAGTGCTCTCACCAGCCAAATTCCCTCACCTGCATGTACTAGACTAGCTAAAATCCCTCATTGGATCTTCAGGCCAGCTAAAATGCCTCAAAAGCCTGTACCCTGGGGCTAAAATCCCTCACATTTGTCTATATAAGGAGGCCTCTGCCTGCCAGTTGTTCCCTCCATCATCCCACCAGTGGACCAGATCATCTCAACCACCCTTACACATTATATACAAGTGACAGCCATAACAATACATTATATTGAAATACAACCATAACAGTTTCATCATCATAACAAGTGCCAAGTGCCCATAACCTGCCTCTCATACCATTACTGGTTGAAGCATAGCGCTCCCAGAGCTCCAAGCCTTGGTATTAAAGCTTTGAACAACAGCTCCATCAATATAATCATCACTCATTAACAACTTCAGACCCTTATACACATCACTCGGAAGCTTCATCTTGAACTATCCTCTATCACGATAAATATAACTGCCAAGCTAAGCTTGGTGGTCTTGTTGTTCTGATAGCATAGAAGGGCAGAGCTTGCAACTCCATCATCCCCTTCTCCATTCAGCAAAAGGGTTTCATAACCACTTTTGAGTCTTACAGCGGCAGACCTCTGCGATTTCACATAAGAGATTACAGTGACCAAGCAAGAACTCATTCAAGATCAGTTGACTGAGGCAACAAAATCACCTATGCCCGTCCCAAAGAATTATAAAGATATCCTCAAACACCCAGAAAAAGAAGGATGTTTGAAGGCAATACAAGAAGAGCTTCAAAACCCATTTCAAACTGGTACCCCATGGAAAAATAGTAATGGGCGCCAGGTGGGTATTTGTCAAGAAAAGGACACCAGATGGAAAACTCATCAAACTGAAGGCTAGGTATGTGGCTAAAGGGTACGCACAAATTGCAGGTGTGGAATTCATGGACACTTTTGCACCAACGGCGACATTTGTCTCTCTGCGTTTATTACTGACTGCTGCAGCCAAATATATTTGGCCTGTATAATCATTTGACTTTTTTGCAGCCTACATCCCCTCCCCCATTGATAAAGATGTCTGGGCAAGACCGCCTGAGGGTCTGGATGTCCCAAAAGGATACGTCTGCAGGCTTCAGAAGGTGCTGTACGGGACAAAACAAGCCGCGCATTGCTGTTGGAAGCACCTGCAAGGAAAACTGAAAGATCTGGGTTACTTACCAAGCCTGTTTGACTCTTCTCTTTACATCTTACAGCACCCGGATCATAAAGGTGCCATTTGGGTACATGTCAACAATGGTGTGGTGAGAGGCTCTTCAAATGAAATACTCAAGGATTTGGAGTCCAGACTGAAGGATTGTCTGTAAATCAAGTGGCAAAAGGGCGCTGAAACCATTTTTGGAGTGGAAGTCAACAGAAAATGTAACCAATTCAATCTTTGGCAAAAGAAATTAATAGATAAGATTCTGGAAGAACACTGGGATAAAAAGTCCTTGGCCAAGACACCACTCCCCTTGGGGTTCACATCTATTACTTACAAAACTGAACATGGGGACCCATCCTCATCAACTAACTATCTCTCACTGGTAGGAAGCTTGAGCTATCTAGCGGTCGGGACAGGACCTGACATTGCTTTTGCAGTAAACTATATGGTGTGATTTAGCTCAAAACCAAACCCGTCTCAATGGAAGGCTTTACACCAAATTGTGAATTACATAGCTAACTTACGTGATAGATTCTTACAAATTGCCCCTACAGAAACAACAGAACCCCTGAAGTGCTATAGCAACGCAGGTTGGGGGGGAGAATATCAACAGTCCTCTTATGGTATTTACATCTCGTTCTATGGAGCCCCAATACTGTGGATTGCCAGGCAATTTCACACAGTCGCGGTGTCGACGTGCCATGCCAAATACATGGCACTAGGAATGGCTACAAGGCAACTCCTATGGGTTCAAGAGCTCATCCAGGAAATTTTAGGCCATCGATTCAAAGGCAATTTGCTTTGCAATGATGAAGCAGCTATCAAAGTTGGAAGAGATGATAGCTCCAATAAAAGGACGAGACACACTGAGCACAAATTCTATATTACTAACCAGGCGTTGTTTGAGGAGAAAGCCAGTTTGTCATGGGTGCCCACGGACAAACAGCTTGCTGACATCCTCACTAAAGCCTTGACTCCAGAAAAACATGAGTCATTGGCAAAACAAGTTTTAGGATACAATACATTTGCCTCGGCCTAGTCAACAGGGGGGGTGTTAGGACATGGGTATGCTTATACCAATCCTGTGAGAGTTGACTGCAGCATAGCATGGACATAGCATATATATAGTTTCTCCTCTCTCTTTGAAATGAACCTCATGCTCTTGAGCGACCATATCATAACAAGAACCTGATTCCAATCTCAGACTTGAATCTCTATCAAGATTTTCCAAAAAAAGGTGCAGCATATCACTGTACTGGCACACCTTCAAATGCAGGAGCTATTTAAAAACCTCTGCAAGAGGTGTTTGGGTAAAAACTTGTCAGACCTGCCACATAGACTCCAGCCCTTTTTGGTGCAGTAGTATGGAGTCCACAACTGGCATATCTTGTCCTATATCTTGAGTGCACAAGTGATACATAATGTAAGACAAATATGATTCTTGGCAATAAGTGATCTTCAATCAGATATCATCATCCTACATACACTTTCAGAATCTCAATCACCAGTCCTTGTTCCATCAGAATCTTCACTATTGTTATTGGTAGTCTTGACAGGTTTATGGACCAGTCTTGTGTCTGCTTCTGTCTGATCTGCCCCCTCAACCCCAGAAAAAAATAAGAGATACGTGAAGCACCTCACACAGAGAGCAAAGGAAGAAGAACCAGAAAAAGAGAAGAAGAAAATAAGAAAAAGAAGGAATAGATTTCTTTTCTCTTACATCACATTCAGAATTATAAAAAGCAATAAATAAGACTGAAGCATGAGAAACAAAAAATAACGACTAAGATCTATTTAGTGAGTTCAAGAAAAAGCAGAAGTTACTATATACTTTTGGGAGAATAATAGTGAAAAATTAAGTGGTAAAAGTGTAAGAATTCAAAAGCTTTAAGGTTGATTTTCAATCAGAGTCAGCTCATGGTGTATCGCATGAGGTAAGAAAAAAAAGAACAAATGGTTCACACTTTTAAGGGCAAGGGTATGTGACAGTAAGGCAGAATAAGGAAAAGGAGAGGTGATAACAAGGAATTGTACAAGACAATGTGAGGAAAATATGTGACAAGAAAGAGTAGAAGCAAGCTGTTGCAAGAAGAAGGTTTTAAGAGAAAAAGCCACGGTAGAAGATTGTCGCAGATGGTTAGAGACACAAGGTGAGAGGGGAGTTGCGGAAGGAGATTGTTGCGAGTGGTTTAAGATGGGTGAGGAAGTTTTAGGGATTCAATTGACGGGTTTGATACGGAAAGGGGGAAATATAGTTTTGACCTGTTAAAGTGATGGGTGACAGATGGGGAAAAGGATCTGAGGGAGTAAGGGAGTCAGATCTCTATAAGTAGTTTTCCTTCAGCAAGATGCTGGTACTCATGGTGATGGGTTGGTACATTGCTGCCAGGCAAATGCCATGGTTCAAGCGGTATGTTCTTTCTGAATACTTTGGTCCGTCCCTTTGTCTTTGTTGCCTAAAGTAACGGGAAGGGGAATTTAGTCAGTTCTCCATGGTGCTGGTTACAACACAGACCAGTTCATGTTTTGATGGTTACTTACAGTTGTTGGTGATGGCTTCGAGTAAGCAATCAGCCCAATTGTGGGCCTCTGCAGTGTCAGGGTTGTTATTCTGACAAAAAGGAGCACCAATATGAGTTTGAGGGTGTTCAGAATTTTTCTCAGAGTGATATGCTCCTTGATGTCAAGCTTGAACCCGGCAAGAGTGTAAGTGGCATTAATGGGATCCCAGAGGATGGGAATGTTATTGAAGGGGTGTTTGGGCTTGGGCTCAGAATCTCACCAGTCAATGGGAAGACTCAGTTCAATAGCAAATCTGTCAAGAATCAGATCCTCGTCATCCTCATCAGGCAAGCCCGACCATGGTTTCCTTGGTGCCAGTGATTGAGCGCTCGTTGGAAGAGCTCTTGGGCACACTCCAGTGCTCCTCTGAGCCTCTCTTTCAGCAGACTCGGTCTGCTTTTTCTTCTCTTGGCCCATTGTTCTTCCGCCAGCTAGACTCGAGACCGTCCAGCTCACACTCAAACATCTCATCCTTTGCCTCAAGTCTCTCCCCATCATGGGCCGTCTCATGATAGCCTTCATAATCATTGGAAAAGTTCAGCATGTCAATATCCTTGCTTAAAGATTGGGTGTTGATCTTGAGACCAGCATGGTTGGGCCCTGTTGAAGAGCTCCCCTTTGATTTCACTGGAGACCACGGTTGATCATCAAGGTGGGCAGCAATATTGTGATTGGCCTCATCCAGCTCATCAACTTCAAGTTCCATCCTCATCCCCTCACTCTCCACTGCTTCTCCTGCAAGCTCCCTGAGTTCTGAGCGGAGACTTCTAGGGGTTGCAGGGTCACCTGCAACAGTATGAGGAATTTCGAGCTTGGTGATGTTTTTGGTAGGCACTTCGAGTGAGTGAGTGGCCGTTGGACTAGTGTTGCATGACTGAACCATGCTTGGCCTTGGGAGGTCAGAGTTGAGAGACATGAGTGAGGAGCAAGGGCTGCCTGGGTTGGGAGCTTGATTCTGATGATCAACTTGAGTCTGGTGATCATCTGGCCAGATGAAGAAATCATCACAGGGTGGCGGTGAGAGAACCACATCGAGTCTGATGTCAATCGACCTGTTTGGAGGCCAACTGCTGAAGATTTGTTGTTGTGACCAGGGTTGGATGGACGAGGATGTTGAGCGGATGTATAGCTCTGGAGGAGGGCCGGATGAGCGGGGTAGAAGAATTTCAAACGGGAGCTTGTGTCTGGAGTTGGTGGCTCTACCTCAGGCCCTTTTTGGGTGAGCGACAAGGATTGCACGGGTGATTTTGAGCTAGTATGGATTGGTGAAGGAATATGTGGTAGGGGAAAATTTGTTCTTGAAATCGATGGCGCAGGCGGAGAGGACCGTCTTCTTGCGCTGCCGGCTGTCTGGCATCTGTCATCTTGGAAACACTGTTAGAATCATGGAAAGCCTTCTCGGCAGAGATGATGGGCACGTAGGTGTCCAGGGGGAAGGGGACCAAGCTGGTTTGGAACTTGTTGAGATTGACGTTCAAACTTCCATCAAATTGTAAGGAGGCAGTGATCAAGGAGACCACCTGGGCGGTAAGCCTGTTGAGGTTGGTGAACTTGTGTAATTGGACTCCCAGATTCTTTTGGCAGATGCTGTAGATGGCCTCTTTGTCTATTTGATTGCCATTGCAAGTCATCCACAGATTGAGTAGTAGCGTCCTTTGTCTGTGTATTGTTAATGATGTGGATGCACCCCATGGTGCATCCAGAGATCACAATCTGGATATGCTTCTATTCCCACTACTCTCCCATTAACACTCCATCATCCTCAGAGTGGGTAGTAAGGTCCTTGGTACAATATCAGCTGTGTATCTTGAATGATGTGGATGCACCCCATGGTGCATCCAGAGATCATAATCACCCTGTTTCAGCGCAAGCCCACTGGTGCTGAAACAGCAACCATTGCAGAATCCAACTTCCCTGCTTGTCCTTTCCTTCAACCACTCAACAACCCTCTCCCCAGCAAAAGTCCAAAACCCAGAACAAACCAAACACCTCCTTCATAGACTCATCCCACACAGAATCAGCCAGCCCAGTGGATCAGCACTACTTGCTAGAATCAACCAACACCAAAAAGAGTGAGTCCACCTCACTGGTGATTCACTCTACTTCATTTTCTTTTCCTCTTCTGTGCTCGATGAACAAATCACTAAACTGTTCCTTTGTTTTCTTATCAACTTTCTCTCTATCTCTCTTCAGACTATCTGCTGGCTCATCAACTTTTTCTCTCTCTCTATTCAGACTATCTGCTTGCTCATCACTTGTATCCTCCTAAAAAGTCCTGAATGCTAGAATTAACCAACACCCAAAAGAGTGAGTCAACACTGGTTACTTCCATTCCTTCCTCTGTATTTCTGTATGGTATACATGTTCCATATACATGTCACAACTTTTCTAGTAGACCTGTGGTAGAAGTGAGTTTGTGTGAAATATCTTATGTCACAGATTCCACAACAACAACAAACTGAGATTACATAATCAATTCTCATTTTATTCAGTATTGAACTTCCTTTCACCCTTCTATCTTAGTAGAGACCTGACTCATCATTTCTACTGCACTAGGTATGTTCATCTTTTTCCTTTTTTCATTCTATCATCTTCAATAACCTATATTGAGATAATTGACCTATCATTTCTACTGCACTAGTAATCAAACATACAACAGTTCTAGAATTTTCTCTCCCAAAGCATAAGGCTTTGGTTCTGGTACTGATCATCAAAGGATCTATAAAGCCTATTTCATTCCCTCTTCCATGTAAGTCTGTTTCTTTCTTTATCTAGTGTTTCTCTCTGTTTTTTTTCCCTGAGTTTGTTTATAGTTTGATTATTTTTGCTGTGGAAATGCTAATCAATATATTTCCACTGTCCCTTTCTCTGTCCCAGTTGATGCTTCCACTATCCCATTCTCTGTTCCAGGTAAGTCTGTTTCTTTCTTTATGTAATGTTTCTCTTTGTTTTTTAATTTATTTTGTTTCTAGTCTGATGATCATTACTTCCTAGATAAATGATAATCACCATCCTCCCACTATCTCCTTCTCTCCCAGTTCCTCTCATCAGAACCACATTTTCAGTACTGACTTTGTTTAAAAATTGATTTTTGCTACTATTCAGGCTGAAATTGGACCAGCTTCAAATCCAAACACCAGTACTGATGGAAGTTATTGGATGTGAAAAGATCACTTCATGTTCACAAGACAATGGCAATGGCACTTTTGTTATACTTTTCACCAGCAAATTGAGATTGCCAAATCAGTTTGACTTCCCACCATGCAAAAGTCCAGAGTACTTGGTCATTTTTAAAACTGCCATGGATTGGGACGTTACCACCTATTCTCAAGAATGGTTTAGCTATCTTGGTGTGATACAAAGGAGTTCTTCTTGACCAGGTTATTGGGAGATATTGGCATGAGAGGCTTCATTGGGTCATGAGCCACCACCAGGATTTGAACCCTTGGCAGAGTTAAGGCCATTGATTTCTGGGAACATGTCTGTTGTCTATCATAATGTGATTTGACAGGGAACCCACAAGAAACAGACAAGGTAGGGGTTTAATCTACTATAATGAAGCAATGAGGAAGGAGGAAACTGATACTGTATTATTATGAAGAGATACCGAGTTCCACTCAATCTCTTGGGAGCAAACAATCATTGCAACTCCTGGGAAATCAGTTGTGGAATTACTTTGCACTTCAGAGGACAAATAATTGAAGATCTGAATATGCAGATATATGTAAATTTTCAAGTTAGTACCATTAATATGTTCAGCAGCTGTGGGTGAAATAGGTTCTGATTTAGTATGCAGTGTTCAAGGATCCTTTTCCAAAATATCTGATTTGTAATCACCCTTATCTTCAAAATTGAATATCAGCACTGGACCTCACCAAAATAATCAGAAATGCATCTGAAGACATCTTATTTTAGATAGATGCAGCTTATTCCTCATCCAGACTCTGCTGTTGCTGTTGATGAAAATAGGGGTTTTCCCTGTTGACAAGTTTATTGTTAGTCCTCTTGTCCCAATTTGGCTCTCAAAATTAACAGGTCATCTTCCAAACATCTTCAACATAAAGTTTTATACTCAAGAGATTCAATTTAAAATCCAATCCTGAGCAGCTTGTGCTACACTCAAATTTGAACATTATAACTGCAAATTAGTTCAAGTTTGCAAGCCAATGGATACCACCTGGGAACATAAAAACATGGAAAACAAAGCATTGGTTACTGACTGAAGCAATTAAGGCAATTAACAGTCCCTTGGGTTATCATATATAGATACTCAAGACCAAGGTGGCTGCACTCCTGTCCTTTGAGTTTCAATTCAGAAACTTTGTGTTTTTTATTTTATTTATCAAACTTCAAAGGACTTGGACATTGTGGGGCATTCACATAGGTTGAAATGACACCTAAATTGCTGATACTCTGCAAACATAAGTAACTCTTGGTTACCAGAGTTCCAAAGTCTTATCAAGAAATTTCGTACAGCTGTCCTCAGTAGCTCAGTTCTGACAGGTCCTAGTTCAGTAAAAAAATAAAAAAAAGGGCATTAATAAGAAAAAGAAGTTTTTCTGCGTTTACATGTGGTTTTGCTGCGGCACAGCACACGCGGATTCCGCGTATGGACACGGTTTTTTAATTAATTTTTCACCACTTATTTTTCAAGCTTTGTTGAAATTTTGAAATTTTTTCCTATGTTTTAAAGCGTGTAGAATTTAATGGTAAAGACCATTTTCTATAAAAATGAGTTTTAATTTTTTTTTTCACTCATTTATTCACTTAATTGTTTGTATTAATGTTTGTACCTTATTTTTTGAGTTTTTTTGAAATTTTCAAGTTTTTTCCTACATCATAAAGTGTGTAGAAATTTATGGTGAATTCCAATTTTCATAAAAATGAATGGTTCATTTTAAATAATGCAATTACACCCATTTTTTCACTTAAATTTTTAGAGCTTAATTTTCATTCTTTTTTGACATTTTAATTTTTTTTCCTACACTTTAAGACATGTTAAAAATTATGGTAAAAATAAATTTGCATCAAAATGAAAACTATATCTTGAATGCTGCATTTGACATATCCAAGTATATTAAAGTCAGTGATTCACAGTTTTAAAATTCAAGGGTTTCCCCTTACAAATCTGAAAAATCACAAAAAAAGGTCAAGTGCTTTGTCTTGCAACAAAAGTTGAAAAAAATTACATGATTCCAGGACAATTACACAAAAGATGAGAAATAATAGTGTAGAAAAAATAGCCCCCCAACACCAGCAAAGCTGGTGCACTTGAACTCAGAGGCCAGCCTATGTCATTGCATGGGTCAAAACATCTGGGCATGAAAGCCCCCAGCCTGCTGCAAAGGCAGCTGACAAGTGGGGGGCCAGCTTGTTAGCCCCTCAAACTGTGCAAATGCAACAACGGAGAGGAGGAGGACACTCTTATTGTTGGAATTACAGCTTTCTTGGTGCCTGGGGCCTCTATATCGTTCATTTGGTACTCTGCTTTTATATCCGTCAGAAGTCTTTTTTACTCGCAATTTTGTTGAACCCTTGGATCCATGCAAAATCCTGACCAGATTACAAAACCCCTTGGCTCATTCAACAAACCATTTCCATGGTGGCAACGGATGTCCCTGAGTCAGGCTACTGCCGAACTGGTCTTTGGATGTATGAAAAACCCTGGCAAAGTGAGTTTTCTTCTCTCTTCTCAATCATTCCCAAAATATTCATTGGCATGATCATCTCGAGACCATTGACTTGAAATCTCACTCTATGTATGCTCAAGCTGTCAGTTCAATTGCAGCCTCTGATTGCTTTTGGACAAACCCCCAAGTTAGGTGTCCAACATGATGAATTTCACTGTTTGACTCCAAGACTGATCCAGTAACCATCTGTTGCACCAAGATAGCATTTGAATTTCTCTCCCCTCCCCTCCAGGACCGACTGGTTTTAGAGCAAAGAGGATACGTTCTCTCCCTTTCCCTCAGGGTGACGGGCCACAAAGCCAGCAGGAGGCATTCCTCCAGGACAGACCGGTCCCAGAGAAAAGGCTTATATTCCCTTCCCTCCAGGGCCGACCGGTCCCAGAGTGAAGAGGAGACATTCTCTTCCCTTCCCTCCAGAAGGGACAGATCCCAGAGGAAAGAGGGGATCTTCTCTCCCCTCCTCTCCAAGACCGACAGGTCCCACAGTGAAGAGGGGATTTTCTTTCCTCTCCTTTCCAGGACCGACCGGTCCCAGAGCAAAGATGACACATTCTTTCCCCTTTCCTCCAGGACCGACTGGTCCCACAGCAACAAGAAGACAATTTCATCCCTTCCCTCCAGGACCGACAGGTCCCAGAGTAAAGAGGGGATGCTCTCTGCTCTCCTCTCCAGGACCGACTGGTCCCAGAGCAAAGAGGAAGCATTCTGTCCCCTTTCCTCCAGGACCGACTGCTCCCAGAGCAAAGAGGAGATATTATCTCCCCTTCCCTTGCTTTCTAATTCCCAAATTTCTCACCCAGGCTGTCAAGACACAACTCTCTTGTTGTCAAATCGATCCCTAAAAATATAGCCAGATTGACTAAAAGAAGATATATTTAACAATATCAATAAGATAAGAGATAATATAATTGAGTCTTTTGCAAAAATAGAAATGACTGTGACTAAATACTAATGGAAAATAAAAATTAATGAGAAGGAGTTCAGAACAGACTTGGGCTAAGGTCATGTGGTACATAACAGCTGAGAGGTACACATGTCACCCATGATGAAAATAAAAAATGGTGACAAGACTATCATGAGAAACTCTACTGTGACAGATAATAGACACAAGACTTGAAAAATCCCCCTCCAGCTAACCAAAAGTGCAAAAAGAACACCAGCCAGAAATATATAAAGGAAACCTTGAAACAATGGTAAGTGGGCATTGAATTTTTGACATTATAAGCCTAAACCAAAAGCCTCCCAAACCTCTAACTAATATTAACCAAAACCCTGCTGGATTGTTATATGTTTTATGCAATAGTTGAAATCTTGCTATGATGACTGCAAGCTATGAAGTTTAGGTCAATTATACCATTTCAAATCACTAAGAATATCCCATTCAATCACATTTCAGTTGGCATTGATCTGGCAAAAAGTTCTCCTCTGGCATATCTAAACATCCTTGATTTGTTAAGGTGCACAATCCTCTCTCATTATAATTTATGTTGTGAGTCTATTTCTTATAGGGCCTATGAAAATCCCTTGTAACCCAGTATGCTCTCTAATCAATCTCAATCTTACCTACCATGAATTAGAAGTAGCCCAAATAGCTGGGTGACTATTATCTTGGTATTTCCATAGCTCACACATTGTAAGATTTCTACCAGCCCTTCAAAATCAATGTCCCCCCAGTTTTCTGGTAAACCTGTTGGTACAGATCTGCCAGGTTATCAATTTTGGTGTGGCTTCCAGACCCATTGGGACAAATTGTTGTTGATAGGCCAGCAGACCTATTACAACAGGTCTGGCTGGCTGTTGTTACTTGTAAGATTGTGAGTATACTCATTAATTCTAAATAGTTGAAAAAATTGATATGTTGGCCATTGAAGTGCTGTTGGGATAAGCTTCTTGGTTAAGTATAATTATGAGGAGAAATAAATTTTGGAGCTGAGAGTCAAACCATACTGAATTAAATGATGAATTAGATGCATATTTATATCCAGAAACCACTTCAATTTTGTTGGAATTTCACTCATTCACGATTTCTCTTTTTTCTCACAAGTCACTAATTTTGTTTCTCCGAGTTCCTGTGTTGCCCTCATTCATTATGCTTAGTTCACAGACCCACAACCTGAACAACTTGTATCTAGAATATTTAATCCTTCTAGACTACAGCTTAATAATAAAAAAACATCAGTTCTTTATCCTTTTAGGCTGTTCCTGAAGGAGCACTTAAGCCCTCCTTCAGTCTTGTCTGAGAGAACATTAGCCCTTTCAGCAAGAACTCAAAAGTGACTTTAATTTTCTTAGGCCATTCTTCCAAAAATTGAACAAATTTTGTCATAATCACCCTTCTTTGTGTGTGACTAATTTTAAATTCAGATAGTTGATGCAAATGAAGGTGCAGCGGCGCAGCCGCCCTAAACTCTAGTTTTTTTAATTAATTCTTCACTTTTTCACTTAATTGTTTGCATGAATCTTTTTACCTTATTTTTTTATGCTTTTTTGAAATTTGAAAGCTGTTTCCTAAAATTAGGGCCTGTACCAGAGCCCATGGACCATTTCTCATGTTCATTTTTTCACCAAGCAAAAATCATTTTTGGATTGGCATTGAAAATCCAGAAGATCACAATCCTGTACCATTTTCACCCAGGCGCTCTCCATTAACCACTGCAACCGGGGACCATCCATCACACCCCACGCTAATTGTGAGCCTGGTTCTCTATAGTGACAGCAGGGCACAAGATATGGGGGGCACTTTTATATGTATTTCTTAAGAGAAGAGGGATACAAATAAAAGTAAGAAAAAGGGATGAAGAGAAAGGAAAGAATTGGAGAATATTTTTGTTCTTTATTTATTTTAAGATGATGATTATAGTTCTGGCAGTCTTACTGTCCCTTTTTAGATGGCTGCTGACAGTCTTACTTTCCTTAGTAGGATGGCTGTTATAAGTGGAGCTAACTCTGACGCCTCCAAATCAACCGAAACTGAAATGGGTTATTGACACTGATGAATCAGGTCAACCACAATTTTTTAGATCAAAGATCAAGGGTCTTTAAAGGGAAACCTATGTAGTTTTCAGTTGTACAGTCTCCTCCCAGTTGTTTATAGCCATATGTTTTGAGCTCCACACCGGGAACCCAAACATTTCAAGTCACAAGAATTTGTGGAATGGTGGAAAACGGGTCTCAAAGAATGAATGTGAAAAAATAATAACAAAAAATAAGATTTTAAAATTTGTAAAAATTAAAAAGGAGAAAATCACAAAAACTGACAGTCTCAATTTTTCTTTCAGGAAAAGATGAAATGTCCAAAGTGATAGTATGAGATCTGGAATGAATGATTAAAAGTGAAAATTTGGAAAAAAAATGACTACTTGGTGGTTTAAAAAGGGTGCCTGGGGGTCATTCATCAAGAAATGTGGCATTCTGGTACTGCAATCTACTGATTTTGACTGCAGGGTGTCCACCCACCATGCTGAAACTTTTTTTGGATCAATATTTTTCATTTATAATCATTCTTTTCATGTTCCAAACTTGCCCTCTGTCTGTTCACTTTTCACTCAAACAAAAAATTAAAGTTTTCAAAAAATGTTGATTTTCTTTTATCTTTTTCACAAATTTTAAAATCTTATTTTTTATAATTATTTTTTCATATTCATTATTTGAAACCCATTTTTCACCATTCCACAAACTTTTGTGACTTGAAGTTTTTGGGTTCCCTCTGTGGAGCTCAAAACAGATGGCTATAAACAACTGGGAGGAGACTGTACTACCAAACAGGAGGAATTGAGATGGCAGAAGCTAGAGCTTGCTTTCTTTGATCAGGGCTTTGGTTTGATGAGGAATGAAGAGAAAATGAGAGAGACAGAGAAGAGAAACAAGCAGAAAGATGCTAGCTTAACTTATGAGACGTGACTTACTAATGATACCAATGACACTGTGTAGTGGGAAAGGTAGGAAAAGTGAGGTACTTCTGGTGGATAAGTGTTTGCTTGATCTGGGTCTGGTTGTTGGTGTTCTGTGTTGGTCTGGAGTCTGAAAATCCTCTGGAAGCAGAATCAACAAGCTCAGAGAGGATTTTCAAAGTTGGATTACATAATCTAGCATGTACTTGTGGTAGAGGGAGCTAAAACCTAAAGGCTGGAGTAGTTCTTGAAGTACTGTGAAATATTACAAAGTCAATGAAGGAATGGAGTTGAGTAAAAGTGACCAGTGGTGACTAGGGTTAATTTTACACCAGGAATCCATTTCTGAAGTCAAAAAGGTTAAAAGTCTTAAGACAAAAAAGATAAGATGACATTTGGAATAGAAATGGGCAGTTTTGGCAGTCTTTTGGCAAGCTTGGCTGGCTCTAAGGCTGACACTAATCCCCACTCCCAGCCCCACCTTATGAAGCACCAGAAACATTCTCACCACCTCCCACACTTTCATTCCAAGTTTTTGCCGACACCAAACAACTTTACTCCTCTTTCATCCACTCCCATCTCCCGCCTCACACCTGAAAATTAACCATGGAACCCAACATCTTGACAGCCATCATAGCCACAAGCATTGCTGTTCTCCTGCTTGCCAACCAATTCCAGAAAGGCCAACCATACTACAGCAATGGTGGCCGCGCAACATATGTCAAATTTGTATTGCTATCCGCCCAGGACAAGCTCTTCCACAAAATAACTTTGATGATGCACCCCACATTTGATGCACTGGTTGAACTTCTCAGAGACACCCCCATGCGCGAGACGGCCGTGAGATTCCGGAGAGGATTGTTTACTGTCAACAGGTAATTGTCCTCCTAGTGTGATTTTGATTAATCAGGTGACCTGTTGATTTATTTGCTTCCACCCCTTTAGGTACTTCACTGAAGTTTTGGAGGCTCTGTTTATACTGTACCCCAAGTATGTCAAGCTTGATCCTCAGACCTGCGCTCAACCTTCCGACCTTAAAGACGACCCCAAGTATAAAGCGTTCAAAAATGCTGTCGGCGCGGTTGATGGGGTGCTTATAATGCTCGAGTCCCCGCAAATGAACAGCCATCCTGGAGATGCCGCAAGGGGTACATAGCTCAGAATGTTCTGGTGGCAGTCAACTTCTGATTTGAGTTTATTTTTGTACTAGCTGGATGGGAGGGCAGCACACACAATTCCCGAGTGTACATGGATGCCTATTCAAAAGGGCTGGCACTCCCAGGTAACAAGTACCCAACGCGGAATATGGCCTTCAAAAAGGGTTGATGACACCTTTCCACAGAGTTTGTTACCATCTAAAGGAGCAGGCCCTTGCCTCACAGTGCCCTGGAGATGAAAAGGAGCTGTACAATCTATGACATGCATCTCTCAGAAACATAATCAAACATACATTTGACTGTCTCAAGCACAAGTTCCGTATCCTGTCGTCCACCCCCAAAGTCAAACTGAAGAAACAGGTGCAGCTTGTCTACAGTCTATGCATGTTATGGAACTTCATTTGCAAACATGAAGAATTTGATCCATTTGAAGATCAAGTTGACCCGGATGAAGTTCCAAGTGCCAACTCAAACTCCCCTTTGTCTCAGACTGCCAAATGTGATTCAACCCCCCACCGCACCAATACTCAAGAGACGACGGCAATGAAACTGCAACAACACCACATTGCCACTAAGTTATGGGACCAGTACGTTTCATACAACTCAAGGGATGCATAAAGAGATTATTTGTTCCTTTATATGTTCTGTGTGTTTTTTTTTGCTTTTTTTTGCTTCATATTTTTTATTTGATTGCATTTGAGAGAAAAAGTTGTTGTTCCAAATGTTTGCGTGCAATTGGTAAAAGATCAGAAACCCAATTCAACAAAAAGCCCTCAAAAAACAAGACCCAGGGTGAAAAAACATAAACTCAAAACGACTGAATGCCCAAAAGAGAGAAGAGAGCATAAAAAGACAAAAACTCAAACTCAAAATGACCAAAAGCCCAAAAAAGCAAACAGAGTGTAAAAAAACATAAAGTGCAAACAACCAAAAGCCAAAAGAAGAGAAGAATAAGCTAAATGAAGGTGTAACCCATGGCAGATGCCTGTGTCTCAAGCCATGTTTCAAAAATGGCCTCTGTTGTTGTTTGAGCCAATTTCAGAAACATGCAGGCTTTGAAGCAGTCTTTGATGATGCGGACGTAAGCGACAAACTTGAACACCGGTAATTTGAGGATGAAAATCTTGTGTAGTTTGTCAATTGCATCCTCCCAGGCACTCTGAGTGGAATCCTTTGAGGAGGTTGGACCCGACAAGGTTGAGGAGGTTGGACCCAATGAGGTTGATCCAATGATGTTTGGGTCAACCCTGCCTGCAATGGAGGCCACAACACCCATCAGGTTGCTTGAACCTTCAGAGGCCTTCTCAATTGCAGAAATATGTCCCTGGATCCCATTACCAATGATGTTGTTCTTGGTCTCTTGGACTCGTTTGTAAGTTTGTTTGGGGGGCTTTGTTGGCAACCCCATCAGACTCCTCCACTACTGTCTACTGTCTAAATAGGGTGTGAGATCTCGTGGTTTGCTTGGACTTTAATTTTGACCCACACTTCTCTGTGGCAAAGAGAGAGAGATGCTTGTTGGAGATGGTGTGATGGTTGCCAACTTGGAGAAACCAGTGTTGACCATTGCGCTGTGAGACCTCCTTTGAGATGGATGAGCAGTCCTTGAGAGAGAAATAACAATATGATATTTCACTAAGTAATATTCACTGTTACGAGTAGTTTGAGAAGACCTACCCCTCTATTTACTACACAGGAATTCTGAAAACAATTTATTTTATTGTTGTGGTGTAACTTTAGGACAGAGAAAACTTTACATGTAGTAGTATCTATCAGACCTAGATCAGTATGTAATATAATACAAGATGGTTGTACAACATTTACACGGTGAATGTGGGTGTGAAAACAATCCAAATGGAATATTTTATAGGGTTTTATGGTTTTACGGTGATTCTGGATAACTAGTTAAATTGTTGGTTGCTGTTGTTGTTGGTGTTATTGAATTTCAGGTTAAATTACTAAACAACCAAAACCAAACTGAAAGAGCAACAGGATCAGTTAGAATGAAAAACAACAAGGAAATAAGAGAAAACAAGAAACACATGAGTCCAGACTGAAAGAAAAGAGTTTGAGGCATACCACTAAGCAGATGGTAATGTTAAGAGTTGAGGACTTTTTTATAGAATGGATATGGAGAAGCGGCAGAGTCTGAGCAAGCTAGAGATGAAGAAAAACAGACGGGCCAATGGAGAAAAGAATTCAGCGAAATCATATCAAACACGGAAAGAGAGATAGAGAGAAATAAGAGAAAATATAAGAGAAGAAACAACAAACAGCAAGAAAGAAAGAGCAAAGAAGCTATAGGTTTTCAGGGACCTAGACAAGATTTATAAGCTGAACAGAATCTGGAACGGAAAAAAGGGATGGGATGCAGAAGGGAGATGTGGATGAGCTGTGTGAATGTTATTAGTTGATTCAGAGCCAGTTGGAGACTTTACAGGTGTTCGGATATTGTTGACGAGTAGTGCGGCGGGATTTTTCCTAAGGAGCCGGAAGCCTTGAAGCGAGAAGTCTTGAAGCGAGAGAACCAATGAGTTGATGGTTAAAGAACTAGGTGAGGCGAGGCGGTTTGCAATGATGACTTGGTGGATCAACCCTAACCGGCTGTTGTGAGGATTTGCGAGTCTCACATCCAGACACGGTCTGCAGAGTTGTCACCTTTCACAGGAAAAACTCAACAGGTGTTGTTGTTGTTACTGGTGTTGACTAGTTTTTTAATGTTGATGACCACTGAGCTAGCTGGGTACTGTGCTGGCTGGGTGATGATGGGGGGAATTGGTGAAGGAGAGGCCTCCTTATATATTCTTTTCTGAGTTATTTTTGCTGGTGGTGATGCAGTTGAGGTGATTTTGCTGGTGGTGACCTTGTGGGTTGCACTGCCTCCTGCAAAGAGTACATACATTGAGCTAATTATGCTGTGGAAATAACTAAATATGGTACTACTGTATGTAAGGATTGCATAAAATGGTTGCACTGCCTGGTGGAGGTTTTGTGTACACATGCATTTATGCAAAGTCTGCTTGCATTTAATTGAGTTACTAAGTGGAGGACTAATGGTTGCACGTATGCATGCAAGAATTGCATAAATGATCTGCACTACTGGTGGAGGCCTGCTGATGTAATAATTTATGTGTATGTACTTATATATATGTGGTAAACTAATATTAAATACTAATTAATGACTAGTTATGGTATGGCTTTGACCTTTATATTGGATTATCTTCTAAACTAATAGAGATAGAGGTATAGTTGTAGTGAGTGACTATGGGTAAAATTTAATGTAGATTATGATTATGCAATAATATATTCATATATTTAAGTGGTTTAAGTTATAAGTTAGGGGTTTTGGCAGTTTTGTTGCGCACAACAGCCTGGACCACCACAGCGCTGTGGCAACTCATACCTTTCCATAGCCCCTATTATTTAACTGTATATTCACTTGTTTTTCCTTCATTATTATGACATATGCAGATTCTACACCTCATTTTACATATAGTCACTCACTCAAGCTATATTTCATTTCTTACTGGATCAATATTCATTTTTATTCTTAGCTTTACAGATATTTTTCTTTAAATTTACATTACACAGTAGCTACATATAGTAAATATTTACAGATTGACTCATACATCATATATTTCTCAAGTACTTTCATTTACAAATATCTGTTCTCATTACATATGTCAGATATTTTCTCAGATACTTTCTTTACAATCACTATTTCACATGTAGCCTTCAGGATAACAGTAGTACACTCTTTCACAGCCCTTCTCCTCTTTGGGTTTGTTCCCCTTTAATCATCCTTGTTTTCTGTTTACATTTCTCATCTCTTATTTCTACATATGTACATTTCTTTCTCATAACCAGAATTGCCACATTCTGTGCTCATTTGTATCTTAGAGTTTCTAAGTATTCCCTCGTACACTTGTACCCCCAGAGATAGAAGAGATATATGGAAAAACAGACATAACATAGATACATATACCATACAACAAAATACATACAACAATCAATGCATACTTTGCCAGAAATAATTTAGTCATATTTTCTTTCCCCCTCTTTTGCATATTTTGCCCCTTGTGAATCCTTGCATACTTTGCACTCATTACCCAGACACGTTGCATATTTTACACATTATCCTTTGACCACCTCTGCATATTTTGCTCATACCCTTTGAACCTTAATCATCACTCCACAATCCTCCTTCCTCATCACTCCTCATACACTCTGTGGTATTATCACTAGACCTTGATAACACCTCCCTGTCCTAGAACTCACTAAGAATTACTAGAATCCATGCCACACCTTTCTTCTTTTTCTTAGTGTAAGTCTTCCCAACTCCAGAATTGTACAGGAGGGAAGCCTCAACTTACATTATTTGTAGTGTAGTTTTCTATTTCCCCTCCAAGCTCTGTTTCTGATTGTTCAGCAGTTCCACAGCGCCGGTGGCAACTGCCCCAGAGAAGACCTCTTCAGCTAGGTTGTACAAGCCTCAAGGAGAAAGATTTCCCCTTGAGCTTGTTGAAGTGTTGTTTTGGGTGGGCTGAGCACAGCTCATCCCAAGTTTTGGGGTCGGCCGTTGGGGTCGCCAGGTCTTTGTTCCAGCCAAAACCTGACTGCTCACGCAGGAATTTGAAGTCCTGGTAGACCTTTCGGATTTCGGCCTTCTGATTTTGGAGCTGCTGGAGGTCAAGGCTGATGTCAAAGGTGGCATTCAAGTCCTTGGTGACAGCGGCCCATGCATCCCTTTTCAAGTTGGAATTGTCCGTCGCATGACCCCGTTGAGTGTAGTCGACTATCAACTCCAGGAGTTTTGTCTTCTGCTCCAGGGTCCAAGAGTGAGGCCCCTTCTGTGAAGGTGGATTTGGCGCTTGGTTCTCCTTGGAGGCAGATAGAAGGGCTGGGGTGAGGATGTCATTTAGAAGGGCTGAGTATGTCATTTTGTTTTCCGGAGGGTTTCAAACAGGAAGTAGAAGGGAGGGGGGACTTGGGATGGCAATAGGGAAGTTGGGTTAAGATGCGGTTTGATTGAGGGTGAGGGAGACAGATTGCAGAAAGCCCTCCCATCTTATATCATCAATTGGGGAGCGGTGGCCTGCACGGTGGATAGTATGTGAGGGGAGCTACCAAAAAGGAACCTGTTTGGTTTTTTTGGAATGAAAAAAAAGAAAATCCATTTCTAGAAGATTGAAAATGGAATGTGGCATGGTTCACCATTTTTGGTGAATCCAATTTCCAACCGGAAAGTTGGAAATTGACCCAAAAATGGGGGCTGTGGTACAGGCCCTTAAAAATGTTTAGAATTTAATGGTGAAGTCTAATTTCCATAGAAATCAATGGTTCATTTTTAATACTGAAATTGAACATTTTTTTCAATCCATTCTTTACATGTTATGTCTCAACGTTTTTTGACATTTTAAATTTATTTCCCACACTTTGAGACATGTTTAAAATGATGGTAACAATCATTTTTCATAAAAATGCAAACTATATCTTGAATATTGCATTTGACGTGTTTATTTAGGGCCTTAATAAAAAAACCCGCATTTTCCGCGTTTTGACGCGGTTTCTGCTGCGCGCAGCACACGCGCATTCCGCGTTTAAACCCGCTTTTTTAATTAATTTTTTTTTGCTGTTAATTTTAATTTTTTTTAATTTTTTAAAATTGTTTCCTACACTGAAAAACGTGTAGAATTTAATGGTAAAGTCCATTTTGCATAAAAATGACTTTTGATTCTTAATTTTTTTCCACTCATTTTTTCCGTTAATTGTTTGCTTTAAGTCTTTTACCTCATTTTTCAAGATTTTGTGTAACTTTAAAGTTGTTTCCTACATCATTAAGTGATTAGAAATTTATGGTGAAATCCAATTTTCATAAAAATGAATGGATCATTTTTAATAATGCAATTACACCCATTTTTTCACTTAAATTTTTAGAGCTCAATTTTCATTCTTTTTTCACATTTTAAACTTTTTTCCTACACTTTCAGACATGTATAAATTTATGGCAAAAATTATTTTGCATCAAAGTGAGAACTACATCTTGTATACTGCATTTGACACCGTTTTTTTTATTATTTAATTCTTCACTTTTTCACTCAATTGTTTGCATTAATTGTTTTACCTTATTTTTTCTGCTTTTTTGAAATTTGAAAGTTGTTTCCTACATTTCAAAGTGTTTAGAATTTACTGGTAACAATCAATTTACACAAAACTCAACGGTTCATTCTGAATACTGTAATCAGCCTTAAAATTCAATCAATTTTTAAGAGCTTAATTTTCATGCTTTTTTGACATTTTAAATTCATTTCCCACACTTTGAGACATGTTAAAAATGATGGTAAAAATAAATTTGCATCAAAATAAAATCTGTATCTTGAATAATGCCTTTGACGTGTTTCCTTAATTAATTCTTACACACTTAATTATCCTTATTTTTTGGAATTTCAAGTTCATTTCCTACACTTTGAAAGGTTTTAAAATTGTTGGCTGTATCCACTTTGCATTCACATAAAATTTGTATAAGGGACAAATTATGCAAGAAACGGCGTAAACTCATGTATTAAGATTGAAGCTTGTATTTTTAGGGAAATTGGACTTCACCATTCAATTCCACACATTTTTAAATGTAGCAAATAAATTTAAAATTTCAAAAAATGATTAAAAACCAGCCGGTAAAAAGCAATTAACAAAACATTAAAAAAAACATGTCCAACGCAGTATTCAATAAAATTCTTTGGTTTTTATGCAAAATGATTGTTACCATCATTTTAATCATGTCTAAAAGTGTGGGAAACAAATTTAAAAAGTCAAAAAAGAATGAAAATTAAGCTGTAAAAATTTAAGTGAAAAAAGTGTCTAATTTCAGTATTCAAAGTGAAGAGTTGAGTTTTAGAAAATTTGAATTGCGCCATTGAATTCTGCATGATTTAAAACCAAGGAAATAATTTTAAAATCTCAAAAAAACATAAAAAATAAAGTACATACATGCATGCAAACAGTTAATTGAAAAATGAGTGAAAAAAAAATTAAGAATCAAAAGTCATTTTTATGCAAAATGGACTTTACCATTAAATTCTACACGTTTTTTAGTGTAGGAAACAATTTTAAAAAATTAAAAAAAATTAAAATTAACAGCAAAAAAAAATTAATTAAAAAAGCGGGTTTAAACGCGGAATGCGCGTGTGCTGCGCGCAGCAGAAACCGCGTCAAAACGCAGAAAATGCGGGTTTTTTTATTAAGGCCCTTTATTTAATTAATTCTTACATGCTTAAACCACGTGTAAACGCTGAAAAACCGTGTTTTTTTATTAATGCCCTATTTTTTAGGGCATTAATAAAAGGGCCTTAATAAAAAAACGCGGTTTTCCGTGTTTTGACGCGGTTTTGATGCGCCGCAGCACATGCGGTTTCCGCTTTTAGATGCGGTTTTTTAATTAATTTTTTATGGGTTATTTTTTGAGTTTTTTTGAATTTTTAAAGTTGTTTCCTACACTATAAAAGGCGTAGAATTTCATGGTAAAAACCATTTTTCATAAAAATGAATTTTGATTATTAATTATTTTTTTTCACACATTTCTCAATTAATTGTTTGCATACATGTATGTACCTTATTTTTTATGCTTTTGTGAAATTTTAAAATTATTTCCTAGGTTTCAATGTGTTTAGAATTTAATGGTGCAATCCAATTTTTTTAAAACTCAACGGTTCATTTTTAATACTGAAATTAGACCCATTTTTTCACTTAATTTTTTACAGTTTAATTCTCATCATTTTTTGACATTTTAAATTTATTTCCCACACTTTAAGACATGTAGAAAATGATGGTAACAACCATTTTTCCCCAAAATGAAAACTATACCTTGAATGCCGCATTTGACACATTTTTTTTAATTAATTCATCACTTTTTCACTTAATTGTTTGCATACATGTGTGTACCTTATTTTCTATGATTTTTTGAAATTTTGAAGTTTTTTCCTACATTTAAAAGTGTGTAAAATTTAATGGTAACATTCAATTCCCATAAAACTCAACGGTTCATTCTGGATACTGTAATTAGTCATATTTTTCAATTGATTTTTAAGAGCTTAATTTTCATTATTTTTTGACATTTTAAATTTGTTTCCTACACTTTCAGACATGGTCAACATGATGGAAACAATCAATTTGCATCAAAATAAAAACTGTATCTTGAATAATGCCTTTGATGTATTTTTTGAATTAATTCTTATACGCTTAATTACCCTTATTTTTTGGAATTTTAAGCTCATTTCCTACACTTTCAAAGGTTACAAAATTGATGGCTGTATCCATTCTGCAGCCAAATACAATTTTTATACAGTACAAATTATGCAAGAAACGGGGTACACTGACGTATTATAATTGGAGCTTGTATTTTTATGGAAATTGGAATTCACCATTCAATTCTACACATCTTTAAATGTAAGAAATGAATTTAAAATTTTGAAAAATGATTAAAATCCAGCCGGTAAAAACCAATCAAAAAAACACTAAAAAAAACATGTCCAACACAGTATTCAATAACAGTCTTTGGTTTTTATGCAAAACGGTTATTACCATCATTTTACTCATGTCTTAAAGTGTGGGAAATAAACTTAAAATGTCAAAAAATAGTGAGAAATAACATGTAAAGAATTAATTGAAAAAAGTGTCTAGTTTCAGTATTAAAAATGAACTGTTGAGTTTTAAGAAAATTGGTTGTTACCATTAAATTCTACACACTTTTAAATGTATGAAAAAACTTTAAAATTTCAAAAAAGCATAGAAAATAAGGTACACACATGTATGCAAACAATTAAGTGAAAAAGTGATGAATTAATTAAAAAAAACATGTCAAATGCGGCATTCAAGGTATAGTTTTCATTTTGGGGAAAAATGGTTGTTACCATCATTTTCTACATGTCTTAAAGTGTGGGAAATAAATTGAAAATGTCAAAAAATGATGAGAATTAAGCTGTAAAAAATTAAGTGAAAAAATGGGTCTAATTTCAGTATTAAAAATGAACCATTGAGTTTTAAAAAAATTGGATTGCACCATTAAATTCTACACACATTGAAACCTAGGAAATAATTTTAAAATTTCACAAAAGCATAAAAAATAAGGTACATACATGCATGCAAACAATTAATTGAAAAATAAAATTAATAATCAAAATTCATTTTTATGGAAAATGGACTTTACCATTAAATTCTACACCTCTCATAGTGTAGGAATAAATTTTAAAATTTCGAAAAAACTCGAAAAATAAGCCGTAAAAAATTAATTAAAAAACCGCGTCTAAAAGCGGAAACCGCGTGTGCTGCGGCGCATCAAAACCGCGTTTTTTTATTAAGGCCATAATAAAATCACGGTTTTTCCGCGTTTACACATGGTTTTGCTGCGGCACAGCACACGCAGATTCCGAGTTTACACACATTTTTTTAATTAATTTTTTACCACTTATTTTTTGAGTTTTTTCAAAATTTTAAATTTATTTCCGAGGTTATAATATGCGTAGAGCTTAATGGTTAAATCTATTTTCCATAGAAATGATTTTGAATGATTATTTTTTTCACTAATTTTTTCAATTCACTGTTTGCATTGATGTTTTTACCTTATTTTTTATGTTTTTTTTGAAATTTTAAATTTATTTCCCAGGTTTTAATGTGCATAGAATTTAATGGTATAATTAAATTTCCAAAAAAAATCCACGGTACATTTTGAATACTGAAATTTGACATTTTTTCAATTAACTAGAGAACTCGCGGCTTTGCCGTGGCGCAGACCCCAAACTCACCTCAGTTGACCCTGGCTCTTATTGAACCCACCCCCTCAACTTCCATTCCCGGTCCGCAGTAACATTTCCAAGGGCCACACCTCTCAAATCCAACTTCATCTCCAGCTCAACTGACCTTCTAATCCAACAATCAAACCGCTGCCGCAATTCTGTAACCATATTACTCCTATCCCTACTCCTAAAACTGATTCCTCAGCTGGGTAATTATGGTCCTATCATCTTTGTTAACTATCTGCTCCCACAATTGGCTCCTGGTATAGGATCTAAAACCTTTCTTTTTCAATTCCAAAGTCAACCCAAATCCTGATTCAACACATTCTACCTCTCCTGGCCCTAACACGTATGCCCCAGGCCCGGCACCTATTAAACCGACTCTCCAACCTATATTGCGGCCTTCACCCGGAGTTCAGTTCAGCGTGTGTGATCTGTTCATTACCAAATTATCCCGTTTTCTCACTAATTCACACCACCTCTTGTCTTTTCCTGAACACAATGTACCACTCACAGCTCTCAATCCGAAGTTTCACCTATGTTGCTGATGCTCCCCGCCTGGCCCTAGTATGATGTACCAAGTCCCCCATGCTACCCCCTGGTGTTGTACTGGCACCTCTATCAAACCCATTCCTCATATGAAGCTCAATGTTCTTACACCTGCTCCAATGGAATTACCACCCAATCAAAGAAACTGGTTGACATTTGAGGGTCCAATCACCTGCGTCAGCTCCACGGGGGTCATTGAAATTCAGACTGCTTGCTCTAACTACTACTCCGATATCCCACTCAGTTACCGAGTCCCTTACCTTGAGGTTTGCAGTCATGTCACCGTAATCGAAGTTCTATCAAGTACCCAAATCACCACCTCAACCCCTGCAGCACCGGTGCGTCATCTCTTTCTTTGGAACCGCAACTCAACTAACTATCAAGTTGCTTTTCTTTCTAGCAATTACACTGGCCTCTAGATTCAATCAAAAGAGACCCTTGGCACTCAGTCCTACTCAGGGGCTCACTGGACTTGATTGAATGAAACTGCAAATAGTCAAATCATCTGCTTTATTTGTTTTGTCATTTCAACAAACCCTAATCCAAAACATTCCTTGTTTCCTGTCTGAACAAAATTTGATTTTCAGTAAACATGGCCGGGACAAAGAAAACATCCGGTGCTAATAATTTAGGAACACATAATGAAAAATCAACAATAACCTGCTCAACAACCCTGTTCAGATTCAATACTGTCAACCTCTTGCAGTAAATGATTCTCGAATTAAGTCCAAGTTTACGACGTTTGTGGTAACCGGTGCATCACTGGGCTGTCGCAATATTCCAACCATTATACCGGAAGACTCTGTTGCCCTTGACAGAGCCACCTAGAGCTTCCCATGAGAAAATACTGGTTCCAGCAAATAAATACCACCAGTCCGGTTCAGAGTTTGACCTTGGGATTTATTGATTGTCATGGCAAAAGCAGGTAAAACCGGAAACTGACACCTCGAGAACTTGGTCCCGAATGTTTCATTGGGTTCATGAACAAGAACCAGTTTTGGAATCATAAAAGATCTTATCCTCTGGTAGGCCCAGTAATAATACAGCACTTCAAGACACAAGGCTGAATTCCTACCACTAATAATCTGGTTCCATTTTGTAAACCGGACCCGATATCAAAGTTGCAAAGGCACACAACCAGCATTACTTCTTTTAACGTTAATTGAGGAGTCAGGAACCCTGGGAGTGTTACTTTTCTCAAGATCTCTGCACCCAAAGTTTCTTCCCAGTTGCTGATAACTTGATCAATTGAGGGTGAAACCAAAGCTCTGCCAGGCATTAAATTCAAGCAAGTTTCATTCAAAATTCCAACATTTGTATTCAAAGGTGAGAGCAGGCATTGTGACTTGAAATAATCCAAGAGGTTGAGATCAGAGCTGTGATCAAGGACTTGTTTCAAGCTACTGTAGACATGTTTGATCAAGTTGTTAATCAGAACTTTGTGCCGGGGATTTGATTTGACTTGGAACCTGCTGATCAACACTTCTTCTGGGTTCCGGATCCAATTTCTAACAGCCAGTCTGCAAAAAACTCAGCCTGTCCAGGATCTGAGCCGATCAAAGCATTATTTGTCCTCAACCGGAGGTTCTGACTGAGGCTGAAAACTGTTACCTCTCTCCAGACGAATGATCCAATAAGTGACGCTGCTCCTTGACTGAAGATATTGCCCTGTTGAACAACTGGCAACGTTTGCCAAAAATCACAATAACACCTCCAAATAGTGTATCTCTTGAAGTGAGCGGTCCACCATTTCAATAGCATTTTTATGAGTCATAGTGATTTCATCCCATATTAATACCTGCAGTTTTAATAACTCAGATCCCAATTTTGTTGCGGGATCCCATTTGCCCATTGTCTGTGAATTCACATTCAACGGAATCTTTAGTCTTGAATGTGCCCTCCCGCCGTTATCAAGCATTAGGGCCACGACCCCTGAAGACACCAAAAACCTCGACATTGTTCCTTGAGAAGTGGGTAATTAACATGTTCAAGAGGTATGTTTTGCCACAACCCGCCGTTCCGTCAATAAATACAGCTTTGTCAGTATTTGATTTGTGGATTTCAATGATTGATTCAAACAGCTGTTTTTGATCCGGTGTTAAGTCAATCGGATTCCTGAGTGCTGTTCCAAGAGACCTCTGATTCTGAGCCAAATTCCAAGACATAAACAGGTACCAGTGAGACTGGTCTGGTATTGCAAGACCAAGGTCTGTATACAACTTTCCTTCTGCTTCAATCTGTGTATACAGAAGATAAGATCCCAATTCTTGAACTAATTGTGAATCCAATCCTAATCCATGCCTTCTCAAGAGGTATTTACAGTTGTTGCTCAGCTCCTCCATGAACCGGGTCAATAATCTTGATGGGTTTGCCGGTGGACTGTGGATCAACAGTAATATGAACATCGAACACAAGCCTGTTGATTTTTTTCCGTGAAAGGCAACTCCGTAGCCTGTGTCAGGAAGAGAGACTCGCAATACTCACTCTAGCCAACACAACTGGTTAGGGCTAGCTCAACAGATGTTTTCCCCTAGACAGCTGCAACTTGAAGTCAGACAACCATTGCAACAATCGGTTTGCTCTTAAACTTCAAATCTTTGGCTCAGTTCCTCAAGCTACGGCTTGGTTCCACTTGGAAAAATCCTCACCACTCCTACACCTACGATATCTGAACTACTGTAAAGTCACCGGCTCTGAATCATCTAACTCATCAGTCAACTCATCCTTTTCTTTTTTTCTTCTCTGTAGATTCTGTTCAGCTTTAAAATCTTGTTCTAGGTCCTTTGAAACCTATTGCACACTGCTCTCCATATTGCTCTCTGTTTGTTGTTTCTCTTTCTATTCTTATCTCATTCTCTTCTTTCCGTCTCTAAGTTCTCTGTGTTTGATGTGATTTCGCTGAACCTTCTTCCTTCTTCTGGCTAACCTTTTCTTTTCTCATAGCATACTCTGATTCTCCAGCTTCTCCACAGATATCTTGCTTAAAGTCCTCAACTTATAATCATTCCATCTGATTAGTGGTATGCCTCTAATTCCACTAATTCATTCAGGCCTTCTTTGTTTTCTAATTTCTCTTATTTATCTACTGTTGTTCATTCTTGATGATTCAGTTGTTCTCTCAGTCTGGTTTTGGTTGTTGTGAAATAAATCCAAATTTCAATACAATTAACAGTTGAAGTTACGCTCAACCGTCCATCCTCGCTGAAATCCAAACCAGACCCTAACACTCGTCAAGATGGACACTATCAATCCCACCATTTTGAAGACGCCTATTGAGGCCATACCGGTATTAACCAAAGAAAATTTCTCAACCTGGAGAGCCCGAATTACTGCCCTTTTCAAGCTTGGTGGACTCAAAGATCAAATCCTAGAAGGCGAGCCCGCGCTCAAAGATAACGACAACACAATCCTGTGTGCTATCATCCTTGCCAAATTGTCCACTACCACTCACAATAACGTGGTCAACTCGACAAATGAGGCTGACGCTATTGAGCTATTGAAAAATATCCAGAAGCGCTTTGTCTCCACTGAGCCATCGAATCAAGCAAGAGTCTATAATCTGTTCGCCAACATTGCTTTTGATGCCAGCAACATCAAAACATTCATTACCAAAGTCCGAAGTGCCCTCGTCAAAATGAAGGAAGTCGGTGTCATCATCCCCAAAGACATTCTTACCTATGACTTACTTTGACGACTTCCTAGCAATCTTGACAACATCAAGCAGAAGATAACTCACTCAAAGGATGGCGAGGACATCAAGCCTTCTACTCTGATCGATCACCTTGAAATCCTAATCAAAGAGATAAAAGTCTCTTCTAACAGCAAGGGACAGTCTGTTACAATGTTCACCAAAGAAGACACCAAGTGCAAGACGGGTGCCCATAATCCGTATTTGACCTCTCACAATCAAGATGACTGCTGGTTTGTCTATCCTGAGAAGCAAATTGACTACCACAAAAGAAATTACGGATCAAATGTTAGCTCATTCTCTACCTTCTCATCATACCCTTCAAACCTCTTTATCCTAGACTCCAGATCCTCATCACACATGGTTTCTGACAGAAGACTCTTCACCTCTCTAGACAAAACCGAAAAAGGAGTAATCAACACGAGTTGCGGCAATAACACCTTGAAAATTGAGGGAAAAGGGTCCATTTGACTCAAGTTCAACCAACGGATTGTTATATTTCACAATGTTCTTTATGTTCCTAAGATTACTGTCAATCTCTTGTCTCTTCGTCATCTCCTTCTTGAACTATGGGATGTCAGATTCAGCACAAATCAATTCACAGTAATCAAAAATAATGAACTGTTTCTTGAAGGAAAATATCACAATAACATTCCTGTTATCAAACTTGAGTTGGACTTCCAATTGTCTCATCTGAGTTCGGACAAAATTCTTCACAATTCATTGGGACACATAAGTTATAGAAGGATTAGAAGCAAGATTGGCATTCCAATCAAAGCTCCTGAAACCTGAAAATCCTGTGCTGTTGTAAATATCACCAAGGCCTCCTTTAAGCATCACTCCTCTACTGCTACCAAACCCTTCAAAGAAATTCATCTCGATCTCATTGGACCAATAAGTCCGATGTCCTACAAAAAGAACAAGTATATCCTGACAATTTTTGATAGTTACACCCAATACTGCTTTGCTATTCCCATCTCATCAAAATCAGATGTCTTTGCTACTCTTTCCTTCTCTATTGATGTAGAAGCAAAAAGATTTGGGTATTACCCTTCTATCATTCACTCAGATCGCGTTACCGACTTTGCCAACTCTCAACTTGAAGGCTACTGCAGCAAGAACACCATTTGGCAACACTTTTCTGATGCCTACACCCCTCAGCAGAACGGGCTGGTGGAAAGATTAAATTGGAAGATCTTGAAGTCGCTGAAGACAATTCTATTGGACTCTGCATTGCAAAAAAATCCCTGGTGTGAAATCTTGAGTGGGAATCCAACGATCCAAATGCTGAGGAAGACTCCAGCGATGACGACAAGGCTTTTGCCAATGCTCTCACTCCAGCTCCAGAAGAATCTACCGGGCAGATCCTCAGAGATAAAACATTTCAAGTTTGTCCGGTCAAATACTCTCATCTCTCTGAAGAGCCTAAATCATTCAAAAGGGCCATAACTTGTGAAGATTCTGAAAAATGGAAGAATGCCATCAATGGAGAGCTTGACAATATCGAACAACACCAGGTTTGGGACAATCAATGGGAGAAGCCAAGCAAGAATCTCAACTCTACCTGGGTGTTCAAAACCAAGCCTGCTACAAATTCCTCTGAAGAAAAACAGAAGGGTGCATCCAAGGTTTCATGCAGACCTATGGTGAAGATTTCTTTGACACCTTTGCACCTACCGGAAAATTTCCTTTGCTTCTTACTTTACTAGTGCTTGCCATTGACCTTAAGCTCCCAATAAAACAATTCGATGTCAAGAGTGCCTTCTTGTTCGCCCCTCTGGAAGAAGAAATCTACAAAAAAACACCAGAAGGATCTTCCAGAAAAAGCCTGTACCTTGAGCTAAGGAAGTCTCTCTATGGACTCAAACAAGCGCCAAAAAACTGGTACGAGACTCTCACGTCCTGGTTTCAGGAGATAGGCTTTGAACCTTCCGTGTCAGATGCCTGCTTGTTCATTCATAAAGAAAAAAATGCGTTCATTTTTTTCCACTTGGATGATCTCATCGTGGTCGGGCAGACGGAAAAATTCGAGGATAAATTTCTGAATTGTTTCCTAATTCAACTGCACACTCTCCGGATACACTTTTGGGCATGAACCTTCATGTCACTCTGCACTCAATAGAATTATCTCAGCCAGCTCTCATCTCCAAGGGTCTTGAACTGCTAGGATTGACCAATTGCAGACCTATGAAGACTCCGCTTACTCCTGCTGTTCAGCTGCACACCACTTCTGAAGAAGATCATCAGGCATTCTTGGCCTTGGGTATCAACTATTGATCTTACATGGGAATGCTGAATTACTTGGCATGTAGGACCAGGCCGGATCTTGCCGCTGCAGTCTCCATTCTTTCTCGATTCAACCAGAGACCTGGGCTCAAGCACTAGCGTGAGGTTCTTCACTGCTGGAAGTATGTAAAGGGGACTGCAAATCTGGGCCTAGTTCTTAAGCCTGACAGGAGCGAGCTGATTAATAGACTGAATTACTATACGGATGCCACCTGGGCTGAAGATCAAGAAAAGCGAATCTCTCAAAGCGGATCTCTAGCGTTTTGGAAATGCTGTCCAGTTCTCTGGAACAGCAAACAATAACGGAATATCACAATGTTGTCAACTTAGTCTGAAATGAACGCGCTTTTGGATGGGGAGCAAGAGAACCAGTGGCTTAAGTTCCTGGTTGAAGAACTGTGGAGGATAGAACTGGCTCCAACCCTGTTCAATATTGACAACAAAGGTCTTCTGGAAAAGCTAAAAAATTTTGGGTCTAACTCTAAGACTAAACATCTGGATATAAAAATCAAGAATCTGAGAGAGAAATTCAAGACCAATGAAATAGATGTTCAACTGATCTCCTCGTCCAAAATGCTTACCGACTCACTGACAAAGGCGGCGCCTCAGGCCTCAATCAAGAAGCTTCAAGAAAAGTGCTTATCAGCTCAATCACCATCAAACATAGAGGGCTGTTGAGTTTTTTCTGTGAAAGGTGATTCCGCAGCCTGTGTCAGGAAAAGAGAATCAAAATAAATAAGCTTACACAACCGGTTAGGGTTGGCTTGTCAACCGTTGAAACTCTGAACTCTTGGAACTTGAATTCTTCAACCATCATCTTCATTGGTTTGCTATCAACTTCAAACATCTGGCTTGACTCCTCTTGGAAAATCCTCTCCGCGCTTCTAATTGACGATATCCAAACAATTGTAAAGTCTTCGGCTTCAACTCAACTGACATCATCAACCAACTCATTCCTTTTTTCCTTTTTCTCTTTTTCTTCCTTATTTTCTTTTTAGGGCGTTAATAAAAAAACACGGTAAATCCGCGTTTACACGCGGTTTTGCTGCGGCACAGCACACACGGATTCCGCGTGTACACGTGGTTTCGTAATTAATTTTTTACCGCTTATTTTTTGAGTTTTTTCAAAATTTTAAAATTTATTCCTACACTATGAAAGGTGACAAATTTAATGGTAAAGTCCATTTTCCATAAAAATGACTTTGATTTTTTCTTTCTGCTTACTCATTTTTTCAATTAATTGTTAGCGGCTTGTTTTTCATTATTTTTTGACATTGTAAAGTTGTTTCCTACACTTTTAAAGGTGTGGAATTCAATGGTAAAATTTATTTTGCATAAAAATGAATTTTATGCATTGTAATTTCCGTTCCCACTCATTTTTCCTATTAATTGTTACCCGCTTGTTTTTAATTCTTTTTTGACTTTGTAAAGTTGTTTCCTACACTTTGAAAGGTGTAGAATTCAATGGTAAAATTTATTTTGCATAAAAATGAATTTTATGCATTGTAATTTCCGTTCCCACTCATTTTTCCTATCAATTGTTACCCGCTTGTTTTTAATTCTTTTTTGACTTTGTAAAGTTGTTTCCTATACTTTGAAAGGTGTAGAATTCCATGGTAAATTTTATTTTTCAGAAAAAAAATTCCTTTGCGTTTTAATTTTTGCTCCCTCACATTTTATTGATGCAAGCATTGTGGAAAGTTCCTGGTGGTTATTCAACCTTCCAAACTTGAATTTATCAATGGGAAAAGGTAAAAATTACTATAATATTCTAGTGAGGCCAAATTTTGGATTTACAAAAGAGTGTGGGCATAAACAAGCGTAGTTTGGAATTTAAAATGAGAAGAGGGACAATAGCAGGAAATCAGAGGAAGGTACGGAGAATAGTAAGGAAATCAGAGGAAGGTACGGAGAACAGTAATGACAAAAGTTAATCAACCTCAACAGGAGCCTTTTTGAAGCGCAAAGATCTTCTGACAGGTGGGTACAAGACTTCTTGACCCAGCTCAGTGTGGGCTTGAATCCAATCCTCCCAACCCAGCGCTTCATCACTGACATAGTGTCTCCAAAATGTATCAATCCTGGGGCATGGCCATATTTCAGCCTTGAAAGTGAAAGAAATGAAATGAGAATAGTCTGGTAAAAGGATCAGACAGATTGGAGGGTTGTTGTTTGGAGTATGCGAAAGAGGAAGATAAGTCGCAGGCATCTGTTCCGATAATAAAATAACCGGTCTTTGGTACGTATCAGCTATTAAATATCCATGGGCCGGGAACGTCATCCAGTACTTGAGGGGGGCTTGCTGTTCCTTGTCTCTCCATGCAAGAGAATCAACAATGTCCTTTCGGTCGTCCCCTGCTCCCCATACGTTATCCAAAAACTTTCGGTCTGAATAGGCCTTGTTCGACTTGAATTCCTTCTTCATTTCTTTGCGGATTGAGTCCCATTCGTCAGACTTGCGGCCCAAGCTGACCGCAATCGCTTGAAAGCCACAGTTCCCATCGCCTTTGACGTCGTTAACGTGTAAGATGTGTGGGATTACTCCTGCCGGCTTGATGCTGTCTTTGTACTCATACTAACAAAAGTTCAAGAGGGAAACAGAGGGGATGAACAATCCAAAAAAGGAGTAAGTACATGGGAAAACAATTGACTCACAAGATCAATATCCACATTCTTGTGTGTACTCCAAGTGAGTGCCTTGCTCAAGGGAGTTTTGT